GCAGTCTTCACTCCGGCCAGCAGCAAATTAATTCCCCTGCATGAAAAATACCTTACCCCTTAATCAGCCATCTCGTATAAAAACCGACAGCTCCTCTGCATGCAGAAAGATCTGGCCTTTATATCAACACATAACCAATGTGTGAACAAGATTATCTTCATTTCATTATTATTATGGAGGAAAATATTCATTGAATGGTTGGTGGACACTGGCTTTTGCTAATTTTTAGAGAAAATCATTTTATTCTTGTTGATACATCAGCCATTCTCAGAGAATTGTCATTATCTTCATGATTAATAAGAAATTGAACTTTTTTTTCATACATTTAACTTTGCTTACTGCACAATGTACAAATAAAACATTTTTTAATGTCAGTTTTCATAGAAATGTCAGCCAACTTGCATAGCGTTCAACACCACAAAAAATTAAACACACTAATCTTAGGTTGACTAATTATTTCCTTAAAATTGTAAGTAAAATCAATGTGGTCCCAAATGTATAAGCTGCACTAATAAGTGTTTGCACGTCTTAGTCAAAATTTAATTACATTTCAAAGCAAAAATCAAATTGAGAACTGATTTTTAAAAAAGACTATATACTTGTATAGGGGGGAAATGAGTGATATTACCTGAATTTACTATTAAAATATAGTGCTTTTGGATTTGTATTATATTTATGATTTGGGGTAATATATGGTTGACCCCCAGTGTCTATGGCAGTTACAGCACTGGTACTTTAGGCCTAAAGTGGGAAAACTGTTATGTTATATAAATACTTATTGAAGCAAAAAAGTTATTTAATACCACCTGGGCCTGTTAACCCTCATATGGTTCTCATTTCCTGTTTACACTAATGGTATTTGGGGTCAATATGACCCCAAAATTGAAAGAGTAATTGTAAAAAATATATACATTTTTAATCATACAAATAATATATCTTTGTTGTTGTTGTTGTTGTTTACTTCTCATCTATACATTAGAGCTGTGTTTTGGGAGATATGAAGTACTTTTGTAAACAGAGCCAGCCACATGGGCCAGCCTCAACTACACCATTAGCTTGCATGTGAAATATTACATTACATCACATACATCATATTGACCCCAAGGACAGATTTAGGGTTAAAAAATTTATTTGTATTTATTAATAGTTACTAATTCCCAAATCTAGGAAACTGCATTCATAATTGGTTTCAACAGGACTCAACCAGGCCTGATTACTGCCAACCCTGTTCAATTAAATCAACACTTAAATATAACTTTTTCAACAGAATGAACTATTAACACACTATTTAAGAAATTCCAGAAATTATGAGGAACAAGGTGACTGAAATACATTAGTCTGGAAAGGGTTACATAGCTATTTCAAAGCCTCTTGGACTCCAAAGAACCACAGAGCCATTATCTAATTTCTAGTCAGTTGAGAGTTTAAAGGGGGGGTCTAATGCTATTTCATGCATTCAGAGTTATTTACACTGTTAAAGAGTTGGATTCTCATGCTAAACATGGCCAAAGTTTCAAAAAACGATTTGGACGTATGACGGAGTATTTCTGTGCCAAATACACTCCTTCCGAATAAGTTTCGGAAAGTTTTTTTCTAGCATGGCTCTTCATGACGTCATGAACAGCGGAATTCCTTGTATGGGCACTTCTCCCGGAAGAGCACATGCACACAGCAAATAGAGCGAGAGCGAGAGTGCACACCCACCAACATGCTTCATTCAGGTTACGTAAGTCGTCAGCAGCGCTGCACAGGACTTGCTCCAGAAGAATGTCACCAAAGAAGTGTGTTTTTGGATGTGAGGGAAAGAGAACCTTGTTCAACTTCCCAAAGAACCCAGCGTTAGGTGAACAGTGGATGCAGTTTGTTTTTCCGGGACAGCAACAGAGTTTTGCACGTGTGTGTTTGTTCCCATCCTTTCGGTGACAAACACCTTGTTATAAACAAGGCCCAGTTCGTAAAACTGCATCAAATTTCTGTGTTTTGTTGGCAATCGGCGCACAAGTGCTTGGGACTCTTTAGCTCCGCCCACAGCACGCCTTCAGGAGCTTGGCTGTTTTCAGAGAGAATCGTAAAGCTGTATCTTTCTTTTATAAATCTGATAAAACTAAAGACTCTTCTGAGATATGAAGGATGCAATACTACTATATAGGTACTCAAGATTAACATGAGATTGGCGGAAATGTGTGTTATGTCCCCTTTAAAGTGTCCCTATTATGCCTTTTTGAATATTACCTTTCATGCAGTGTGTCATGTAGCTCTATTTGAACATAAACTATCTGCAAAGTTGTGAAGCCGACAGTGCATGATAAATAAAGTTATTGTCTATCAAAAAAAGAGTCGGATCGCAATTGCCTAAACGAGTCGTCAGGAATTTGAATCTTATTCTGTTACGGCTGTATGTCACGAAGTAACACATTAGCATAATGTCCGCCCATCAGACTCCAGCTCAAATTGGTAAGGTACAATTCCTGAATGATGATTTATGAGGCTTTCAAAAAAGATCCAAGGCACAGGAATAAGTCCACCTCTGAAAACTAAATTTTTGGAGTGGCCTAGTCAAAGTAATGACTCAATTAATTCAATTAAGACGCTGTGGAAGGACCTTAAATGGGTAGTCCATGCTCAAACCCTCCAATATGGCTGAGTTAAGCAGTTCTGCAAAGAAGAGTAGGTCAAAATTCCACCACTGCACTGTGAAATACTGATCCCCAGTTGTCGGAAGAGTTTGGTTGCCGTTATTGCTGCTGAATGTCAGTAGCGTGTTTAGTCACCACGCAATTGTGTGGAGTCAAGGGGCCCCCAAAACTCTAAACATGCCCCTGCTAAAGGTGGCACAACCAGATATTAAATTGAAGGGGTAAATTAGGGTCATAGGTGACAGAACACTCCCTTTAAGGAGCGGATTCCAGATGCTACACAATCAGAAACATGAAACAAAAGAGGTGGAACTGGGGGAGGGATGGTGGGCCAGGCCCGTGGAGTGGAGGAGGGCCTGGAGACTGTGGCAGAGCAAGCGACCAGGGCGGAGCCGCCAGAGCAGGGAGCCAGGGAAGAGCAGGCAGAGCAGGGAGCCAGGGTGGAGCAGGCAGAGCAGGGAACCAGGGCGGAGCCGACAGAGCAGGGAACCAGGGCGGAGCCGGCAGAGAAGGGAACCAGGGCAGAGCAGGGAGCTAGGGCGGAGCTGAAGCCCACCAGGGAAAAGCAGGCGGAGATGAAGCCCACCAGGCCGGAGCAGGCAGAGCTGAAGACCACCACTGTGAACCAGGCGGAACTGTAACAGACAGCACGGAGAGGTTAAAAACGGTCTCTGCAGCCGCAACATTACAGGCAGACAGGTCAGAGAGTTCAGGAATTGTCTCTTTGACAGGACAGGTGAAAATCTCAGAGATGGCCTCTTTGGCTGTGACAGGGCAGACTAGGGGTTCAGCAACGGCCTCTTTAGTCGAGATAGGACAGGCAGGAAGCTCACAGGCTGCAGCCAACACTGAACTGAGCTCTGGGGCTTGAGTGAACTCTGGCACAGAATCACAGACTGGAACAGGCTCTAGAGCAGATTCATTGGTTGCAGCAGGCTCTGGAGCAGACTCGTGAACTGAAGCGGATTCTTGGACTGGAGTGGGCTGTGGAGATGACGCCGCTGCATCCTCAGAGGAAGTGTGTATGGCTCAAACACACCAGATAGCAAAACTCATTATGGGGAATGCAGCAGACAGAGGAATAGCTTTAGGGACTTCAGGACTTTGAAGCATTGAAAGACCGCAGTGCTTGAGAGTGCTGAGGCCCTTGGAATGCCAGCTGCTCTGGCTGAAAACAGCGGTGGGTCCGCCAAACTGGAAACCAGTCTCAGACGCCTTGTGCCCACCTTAATGACTTCATGCGGCACGTTCATGATACCCAGGAACACTGAAGTGGTATCCATGATGGCTGAAGACTCTGGTGTGGCAGCCATGATGGCTGGAGACTCTGGACTGGCGGCCATCCTGTGAAGAGGCTCTGGACTGGCAGCCATCTTGTGAAAAGGCTCTGAACTGGCGGCCATGTTGGGACAAGACTCTAGAATGGCGGCAATGTTGGGCCGAGACGCTGGAGTGGCTGCCATGTTGTGAAAAGGCACAACGTGAGAAGGTATCTCTTGCTCCAGAACTGACGGTCTCTCCCTGTGGGCTAGAAAGTCCACAAACGCCCCAAAAGACAGGTGCTTCGTACCGAACCTCCTCCAAGTGCTGATGGGCTCATCAAGGGCATAGTTGAACAAGTCCTTGAGAGCCACATCGTTGTAGTTCAGCTCCTCCGCAGCACTCCTGAACTCCATAGCAAATTCTCAATTAAGTCCCGCGTTGATGGAGGGAACTTAGTATTGCTACCTGAATGCGTTGGTAGAGGGGGCTGTAGGTAGTGGAGGCTGGTAGCTGGACTGAGCCCATTCTCCGCTGAGTCCTCATGTGGCTGGCTCATTCTGTCACGGTAGGTTAAAGGGATGAGGCGAGGATTCAAAGGTGCAGGAAGAATGGGCATGTTATTAATAATAAAACAAAACACAAACTAACAAATACTACCCCGAGGGGGAAAACAGGCAGGCAGGCCAGGACAGAGCACAGCACGGCACGACACGTCATGCCAAGGCAGAACAAGACAGGAAACAACCAGGGTACATACGAAGCACATACATACAAACAACGAGCCAGCACAAGACTACAAACACAAGGAGAATAAATAGGGAGCAAACAAGGAGGGTAACGAAGGAGACACGGGTGGAGCAAATGAACCAATAAACAGATAACAAGAAGGGCGGGGTCAAGACAATAGACAGGAGAGCACATGGTATGAACAAACACACGACAAGCCATGTGCTCAAACAAGGACATAGAAATGCTAAGGGGTTAAGTAATAATTAGTATAAAAGATAAAAAATAATAAAAATAAAGAAAAATATTATATTTTCCTGCATGACACAATTTTGCAAATATTTAAGTAAATGTGCTCTACAAAAGCTCACATACCTTGTACAAACAGGGCTGATGATGATCTGCCAAGTCTCGTAGGCAGCAATTGACATATGACTTCCTGTACAATGGGGTTGAAGGAAGCGTTCATCAGAACTATCTCCCACATGGAGAGAGATGAGATGGAGTGATTGACTGCGGACACATGCTCATCTCTGCCCAGAGGACCATGTTCCACCGAGATGGTGAGGACTGTTCTTCCACCCAACAGCCACGTCATGACATCCCAGGATTCATCAGTGCTGCAGTTAAAGTGAACCTCACTGCCTCGTAACACAGTAGCATTCTTGGGTTCTAGATGGATAAAAGAGGCTACAGCTGCGAAGAAGAGACACATTTGAATAAACTGTAGACAATGGCATTTTCTGACATGACACACATTCTTTGTGTTCAGAGGTATTACTTAAAAAATCATTTCATAGAGACGATGATTTGAATATCCAAATATCCATCTTCTTTGATAAACATTTTTTTCAATTTCTAACAATTGTAACAAATTACATTTAAAAGAAAAAGGTAACACTTTAGTATAGGGGACCAATTTTCACTATGAACTAGTTGCTTATTAGTATGCCTATTATTAACATATTGGCTGTTTATTAGTACTCATAAAGCACATATACTGCATGACCATATTCTACATCCCTAATTCTACCCAACATCACAAAATTATTTAGTTAAAAATTAAGGCAAAAGTTGAGTTGAGTTTGAGGCAAAAGTTGTAGTTAAAATGGTTTGTTAACAGAGAGAATTGGACCTTAAAATAAAGTGAAAAACGTAAGAATTTTGGTGTAAGTACAGTAAAAAAAAAAGAGCTGTGATAAAAAAAAAAAAAAAAGCTGAATTTTCAGCAGCAATTACTCCAGTATTCAAGTAAGCCAGTGATATTCGGTATTCATGTACATTCCACTTTAATCCTACAGCAATTTTTCTTGGAAGCAAAGTCATGTAGTTGAATAATCACACAAGCCTTTACTTAGCAGATGACACGCTCACCTTGGATTACACACAGCTGGAGGATGTGGCCATGCATATTGCCAGAGAAACAGTCAGGCCATTGTTCTGTGCAGCACGGACACAGTAGAGAAAATATTTGCAATTGACACAAAATATAAAATTGTAGTGAATTTTAACCTTGTTTACAACATGAGCTACACACACTGAGAATGGTGCAGTCAAACTTAAACAACTTGCATTAAAGTTGGCTTACACATAACACACTAAAACATTTCTAATATTCAAATCCGTTAAAGGATTTTTAGACTGCATTAAATAGGACAACCGAAACCGGGAACACTTCCCATAACACCCGATCTACTTGCTATCTTTTGGCATCTATGCTAATATTAGTCTGTTTCTTTCTTATTCCGAGGTCACTGTAGCCACCAGATCCAGTCTGTGGTTCCTTGCCACTGTCGCCTCTGGCTTGCTTAGTTGGGGACACTTCATTTCCAGCGATATCGTTGACTTGATTGCACAGAGACTATTTAAACTGAACTGAGCTGGATGATGACATCACTGAATTCAATGATGAACTGCCTTTAACTGAAAAATGAATGTTTACTATTGTCACTTTGCATTATTGACACACTATTTTCCTAATTAATGCTGTACAGTTGCTTTGACACAATCTGTATTGTTAAAAGCGCTATATAAATAAAGGTGACTTGACTTAACTTAAAGTGTTGCAAAATATAGTCCAGATGGGTGCGTTTATCATACTATTTTAATAACCAAATACATTTTGTTGAATTGTGTATTCTTTTGGAATTACATTTATATAAATTTTTTACGTTTAATATATATTTTAATATATTTCATATTAGGTCCAGGTAAAAAAAATGCAAAGGCGATACCTTGAAACTTTGAGATATATGTATGTTACACATTACATAATTCACATTACATTTTCATTCCTGTAATACACTAATGGAAATTATCCTGTCCGGACATAATGAAAAATTAAAGCCAGTATAATAATACTGCCTCATGTACTGTATAAGTGGTAGATGACATGAAATACTTCTGAAAAGTATACGTTGACTGATGCTCCATCCAAAACTTTCAAATTATTATTATTTTTAAATATACACTTTTATGAGCTCAACTGAGAAACTATGTGAGAAAGCATAATAAAAATAATTTCACAATTTTTACTTCACAGTATGACATGTGGGGGAAATTTGCATAATTGTCATGAAAATTAAATAAAATAACATTTGTGCAAAATATCAATCCCTGTTTTTTCTCTTCTGAATTTAGGGTGAAAAAAAAACAACCAACTACACATGGGATTTTTCCCACATTGTAGTGAATGATATCGCTAACACATTACCTTATAAGCTCATGACAACATATGAACAAGATACTGTTTGACCTTAACATTTTGAAATGGATCACCATTTCCACTTATGACCCTCATTTGTCCCACTTATTAAAGAATTTATGTACCAAAACACATCACAAAAGTGCCACTTGAATTACAGATCTTTCTGCCGTATTCTTACCTTGAATATTCCAGGATGGTTTATACAGTATTCCAGAGAGGCTGAACAGAAATCATTTTTCCCACAGTCAATACAGTAACAGTTTCTTGGGCACTGAGGGATGCGGCCAAAACTAGCCAGTTAAATATTACCGAAAGCAAAGCAGCCTTTTTAGCCTTGAACTGACCACTGCAAATATCCAACAGTGACTCACGGGCTGCAGTGAATATTGTCGTCACGGCCTAAAATAATGTCTGAAATTTGCTGCTATTGTTAAGTCACATGTGAGGCCCATTTTTAGAACAGAACATAATGAAGCAAACAGTGCCTTTAAAACTCACTCTTTATTGGTAAATAAGGGAATTTCCAACCATTCATTTCTGTCTACATACAAAGTGCATTAGAACTGCCAACTGACTACAGAGAATGGCTTCCAGCAAGAACTGACGTCACACATTCAGACTGAAATCAGACACAATAGACTGAAAAAGGAGGGAATTGTGACTGATGTCCTTTCAGTGTTAATTTTAACTTCAACTTCACTGTGGTTGTAAGTAACTACAATTCAACATCTTAGAACCATATTGTTTAGTCTAACTGAAGTATGTACTAGATGAGTTCGGTTTATTTTTAGCATTGTAGCAAAGTGTGTCCAAAATATGACTGGTAGTGTACTTCACAATATAAGACACACAGAGAGGTATTTGTAAGTATTAGTTTGGCACATTTGAGTGGTTTGGCACAACTATTTGGGAGTCTACTGAACAAAGTCTGAATGTTAGTTTAAAAGTAGTAGAATAAGCTATTTTCTATATGTACAGTAAGGAAAAAAGACATCCCTTTAAATTCACTTGAAACTCGCCACTAAAGCTGAAGCAACTCTAGCGTAAAAAGGCATTTTGCAACCTCAAAAAGGCACATTTATCAGGGGGGGTGGCTTGAAGCTGGAGTCCTGAGTGCATATTGTCCAGTGCAGTGGTGTCACATTTGGCTTTGGCAAAGCTGCGGTGAAGGTATTTGTGGGCGATTTTCGATGACTCCAGGGCAAGTGGGGTGTCACTTCAAGCTGAAATGTAAAGCACAATGTAAGTGTGTGTGCGCAGTTGAGCGTTCATAAACGCGATGCATCAAAAGTTGTTCAATAACATCAGGATATTCCCCCAATTATGCTGTTGATTGCCACACACAAAAAAAATAAAAATAACAGTAAAAAAGGAAAAAATGTGTTTATAGCAATATGTTTACAATATTGCAGCGTTTAAATCATAGGCGTCATTTATAGTGCGGCCCGCGACAACGGCCAATTTTGTCCTCAGCACTTTATGAGTAGCTTGCGGCAGGGTGTATCTAATATATAAGGATCATCTCCAATTGTAGAGAAGATTTTCATTTAATTTCATTAGTGTGTGTCATTTTTAATGTTTTGCCGAGTGAACATTACACTTGTTATTAGTTTCCGAAAGTGACCGCCGCAATATTCTCTCGCAGCTTTCAGATGTATCTATCTGTTTCTATGAAATCACAAAACAAAATCCAATCAAATGCACCACCACCCTTGACATTCACTGACGTAAACCTTTGGTTTATTCAAAAAAAAGTTATTTTATACCGGGTCAGAACCCAGAACCCTCGATGCAAAAAGGGCCAACAAATCATGCTTGACATTCACATGCTGATCCATGCATTTATTCACTGACCTATAAAATAACATAAAATTACCTATAAAACCCTGAGACGGACTGCGGCAGAAATATGGATCAAATTAAATATTTCACAAGCTCATGTGAGCATTTAAAATGGTCAACAAGAGTCATTTCCTGCTCAAATGACAGTGTAATGAGAAATTATACGAAATTAACATCCCATTGTACTATTAAAATTGTTGTTTACATGCTTTTTGAATCATGTTATTCATTTCATCAATACATCACATGGACTACTCATCAAAACAGTAAAGCTCATGTTAAATTATTTGTGTGTAATTAATATTTATGAGTTAAACATCTGTCATTTTTTTACTTCACAACCAGCATGTCTGTGTATTTATTTGTGCTTCAGCCCGCTTGCCTGCTAGGTATTCAGTGTAAGGGCATTAATGTAAATATATCGTTTGGCCATTTATACAAATATCTATTTTTACTTTTGTACAAATTTATATAATAATACATAATTTTGTTAATAATTATTAAATATAATCATAATCTATCATAATATAATCATAGATCATATTTATAATGCCAAAAACAAAAACATATTTGAAAATTTGTACTTCTTCTATAGCTGTATTTGACCATTTGCCGGTGCTACTCTAATGTCTCTCATATTACTCTATGGTCTCTCTCTTTTCATACTGGAAGATACAATTGGTGCCACCTTGCGACTCAAGACAGTAAGACATTTATTTGTTAAGTAGCTGTGTAATAAATGGGAACGTGTATAGCCAGCTGGTCATTATCACAAAATAAATCCCTTTGTTTTGCTGGTCACTCTGTTGTGGTTTATTTTGAGACAACGATCAGCTGGATGTAAATTATCCCTATTAACAATATATTATTATATACATTCCTAGTAAATCAGTTTTTTTGAGGTCCACTGATAATGTTAGTTTTCACATTTTCAACCTCTTTTATGTCACCATTTCCTTAGCATTAAACAACCAATTTTTACTGTTATACCTTTAAACACCCTCTTTCTGTGTTAAATGAACAAAAGTATTTTGAGAAACTTTGATGTTACTCAATAGAGTATCAATAGAGCTTCTTGTTTATAAATACTATCATCTATCCTGCTGGCTCCAAATGTTTGAACACTGAATTTGAGTATCAATAAAATAATAAAATTGAAGCTATTAAAGTTACAGTAGCTTTTCATAGTAGGCTACTCAATGAACTCTTCTATCTTAAAAGATAAATATAAATCTGTGAAACTGTGAGATCAAAATAAAGGATATCTTAATGCTACAAACACAGCCAGTCAATTTAAGCCAGTATGATTTAGGAAATGTAAGCATGTCATTTCTGACAGGATCTTTCTTTTAAACAATCAGCTGTCCTTGATGCACCAGACTGACCAATATCATCAGTCCTAGACACTTGCGATTTATACTCTAGCAAATGGTATCCTAAAACACCACCAAGTGGCAGAGAAAACCCTATCACCTGTGTGGGAAAATCCGGGTCCAAAATCCTCTGCTTCAGGACACTAGTCTTCCTGTGAATGACAGCAATCACACAGTTAACTGCATACCGTCCCTAGATGTGCCATAAATGCTTCCTGTATAACGTGTTTGGCTATAATCCCAATTCATTATTCATTGTTTTGGTGTAGCCTGGCTCCTAGAGGTAAACTATGCAAGTCTGCACCAAAAACTATGTAACTGAGTTGTTAATCAATCAAAATGCAAGTACATAGATTACACATTTGAATAATTTAGTTATTTTCAAACAGCATCAGCAGTATTGAATCAGTTAAACGTTACTAAATTATTATGAGAATTTTTTTTTTTTTTTGCAAGACGCAAGGCTTTTTTTCTCTAGATTACATAGATCATCTAGATTATGGAAATAATTTTCAAAACTGTATATGCCGTAATATAATTAGAAGCAAGGCATCAAGAGAGTTGTACACTATTCATTTTTCTATTTCAAAATGATCAAATAAATTCTTTTTTTGGATGTTGTTGATTGAGCTTACATTGTATTAAACTTCGAATATTCCTTTAAAGCCTGCTTCGTGTGGCACTACTACCATTGTACCCTATAACATCTCTTTAACACTGACTCTCACTCGCTGAAAATACCTAATGCTAAGATAACTGAAAAACACATTACAGCATTTCCTTTTTACTCCACATCAAAACACCATTCGCTGCATTGCCTTCCCATCTTGATGTCAACCATGCTATACTCAAAGATCCTGCTTATCTCAATTTGACATTTTCGAACCAAGGTGCATTGCATGCTGATGGTCTTGCTCAACATCTGACAGAGGTTCTTAATGCAACAACATCCTGATTAACATACTCTTTGATGCATACTACTGAGCAATGCATTTTCACAGTCATGCATATATTCCATAAAAAAGACAGGAAGACCATAAAAATAAAACTGAAGCCCTAAACCCCAACAGTATTTGGGGCCATCCAGATGTATGATGACGCTGCAATGTTAAATTATAAGTTGATAAATACTTTTTATGTCTTTATTGAACACACTGACCCAGAAATTACCATGGCAAGCATTTTAAACTGTTAAAAGTGTTCAATAAAAATCTTATTTTTGTGGTATGTGTTTGATCAAGTTAAAGCTGCTGTAAGTGATGTTAAGCCCCGTTCACACTAGCAGCGACTTTTGTCGATCACATGAGCTCTACCGTCTTCTTTCCTATTGGCTGTCGCTCCCGAAAGTCGCTCTTCATTTGCATAAAGTTGAAGGATTCTGAACTTTGTCGCGTCGCTGAACACGCCAACGGCCGCTGTCGCTAGTGTCGCCGGAAATCGCCAGCTCTCCATTTAAATGTATGGGATTGTGTCGCTTTGCTGTTGCGTGTCGCTTGTAGTGTGAACGGGGCTTTAGCCGTCCTGCTGCTTTCTGCCAGTTGTAAGTTAATTAGATCACCATTATCTCTTAAAGGGATAGTTCACCCCAAAATGAAAATTCTGTCATTAATTACTCACCCTCATGTCGTTTCAAACCCGTAAGACCTGCGTTCATCTTCGGAACACAGATTAAGATATTTCTGATGGAATCTGAGAGCTGTCTGACCCTGCATAGACAGCAACACAACTGAAATGTTCCCAAGTCCAGAGATTACGTGTTTGAAACGACATGAGGGTGAGTAATTAATGACAGAATTTTCATTTTTGGGTGAACTAACCCTTTAAATTACATATTCTGTTTCCAAACCCCACCCCCTAAATACTTATCCGCAAATCTAATGTCAGTAAACTCCAACATGCAAAATGACTGACAGGTAGAACGGCATATCCAAGATTTCTGATTGGCTAACATGTGGGCACGTTAAAGCAAGTCATTTCACTTGTGTTCAATTTTATTTTTCTTCTTAGGAATTTCAGAGAAATACCTCAGCCAAAGTTGATACTGGATAGACTGGTGTGATTTCTCAGGACACCTATTTCAGTGACAGATAGCAGGGACACTTGCAGCAGCTTTAATCACTGTAACAGAGAGTTTAAATTGCTTAATTTTTTTCAAGCAATTCAGTCACACAAATATGAACGCAAAACTTATTCAGATGCAAGTGGGTAGTCCAGTGGTTCTCAACCTCCCTGACTATGCTCAATATTATATTAGACAATTTAGACAATATAATATAAAGACTAGTATATATATCTCCAGGGTTTCTGAACATTTTCAGGCTTTACAAAGGTAAATTCAAGACTTTTTAAGACCATGTAAATAAAATGTAAGGAATAAACTGAAGGGAACATAATATATCAATATGTTCTCTAAATGTAAATATCTAGGGAGCAGAAAATGAGTTTTGAAAATTGTTGAAAATTAGCAACACTTCGAACAGATTACTTTTACAAAACAAAATGCTTAAGGCTTGAATACCTGTGCTCCCAACCATCAGAAGATGGAAATAACTTTTACTGTACTTTCTGATCACACCGCAAAAAAAAGTGATGTTCTTCCTCAGTATTATTTTGTGTTTTCCAGTGCAAATGTTTAAAGATTCTTAAATCAAGATACATTTATTTGAGACACAAAAAAATGGCATAAGATAAGCAGTCTTGATTTCTGTGAAATTGATCAAAATTAAGTTTCGAGTTTATGATTAAAACTAAAACAAATATCTGCCAATAGGCTTATTTTAAAAGGGAAAACATACCTCATTAGCAGATATCTTTCTTGTTTTAAGCATAAACTCACTTCATTTTGTTCAAATTTTCAAGACTTCATTTTACATTTGCATCTCAAGTAAATGTATCTTGATTTAAAGCGTTTTAGATATTTGTATTAAAAAAAAATACTGAGGAAGACAGGAAGGAAGATTTTTTTTTTTTTTTTTGCATTAAGACATTCTCCGATTTAAGACCTTTTAATGGAAAGGCAGATTAAGACTTTTTTAATACCCGCAGAAACCCTGAAATTATATTAAGAAATTTGATTTCAGCTTACATCTTGATTTCGAGCCATTTTAGCATATTTTAAAACCTTGTTTTGTTTAACTTTAAATCATTTTAAGCCATATTGCGGTCCCCATGGAAGTGTGCTGAGGCCCCTAATGGCCCCCCTGGTTGAAAACCACTGACACAGTCAATCTGAAAGATTTGGAACACAACTGATGTCATGCACCGTTGCCCCTGACCTCCACCGACCACAACATGCTGAAACAAGCTGAGAGTACCTCTGAGGCTTGCTCCTCTTCCTCCTGCGTTGAAGAAATTCAGTATTAAAACAGAAGATAATTCATCAATGTATGTCTGAGTGACACAAACAGCTACAGAGGGAGGTTACGCTACACCCAGATTGAATTCTCTGAGCGAAAGCTACATGAGGACGAGCAGTGGAAGAGAGTTTGTGGGGACGTGTGTGTGTGTTTCCACAATAAAGAAAGATCCTAAAAGTGACAGCCACTGGAAAGAACTTCCATGATTTCTGCTCCTGTAACATAAGTGAGGGGTGGAATGACTGGACGAAGGAAAAGAAAGAAAGAATTCTGAGAAATGAGAGAGAGGTGGAGAGCTAAGCAGCATGTGTGGATGGATGAAAGGGAGAGCAGGTGATGATCGTGGAGATCGTCTGCAAAGTTCACTGCAAATGAATGTGCAAAAAGCTGAAGTGTCTGTAACCTTGTCACAAAAAAGGCACGTAGCTGGTTAGTGCACTTGCTTCAACACACTGAGTAGTGCTCATATGGGTGATGTGAATAAATCTGGCCCGCAACCTTTCCTGATCATGTGCCATCTTTGCACAACATGATTGCTTTAGTATTCAATAGATTCATATCAGTCAGGATTATTCGTCTTTGTACTTAGTAGCATTGATTTTTTTAGAAACTGTTAATGTGTCTGTCAGTGTATAACCAAATGTAGTTAAATAATGCAGAACATGCACATTATGTATACCTATGAAAATTAAAATAAAGAGTAAAATGTGTTTGACCTTCTAATGTTGTAGTGTTTCAACATTTTTGATTACTAACATACTTTACATTTGAGGTAGTGTTTGTTTTAGCTTTTGGGCTGTGTTTCTCACTAGGTAAAGAATAAAACTAAATTATATTATTATTATTATTGACTAATACAATTCTCAGGTTATGACTGGAAATGCAATAATAATAAATCATAATGGAAATGGAATATAGGCCCAGGTGTTATTTTAATTCTAATTACCACATCAAGTAGTGCAAATATTTGCTCTGATGATGATTTGATTAAAGATTTTTTTCTAAATGTGATGCATTGTGCAATGTGAAATTTGGTTAATGGTTTGGTTCGATTTTAGTATGATTTATAATTCTTTAAAAATATGTTCTAACTATTTACACTACCGTTCAAAGGTTTGGGGTCTGTAAGATTTTTTAATGTTTTTGAAACATGTCAGTTGAAACATGCTCAAGAAATGTGTCTTATTATTAGACATCTGATGAATATTTTGGTGGAAACGTTTGATTCTTTGATGAATAGAAAGTTCAAAAGAACAGCATTTATTTGAAATAGAATTTGAAATATATTGTCTTTACTATTACCTTTGATCAATTTTATCATCCTTGCTGAATAAAAGTCTTTATAAAAATAAATTTCCTGCCCCAGGTTGTACCCTCACAAGATCAACCTTTGTACTTTTGATAAAAATGAACATATAATACAGCAGGTATTATAATAGCAATTACAATCAATTATTAAATTAATAAAAATGCAGCTACACTTTATTTTACTATGTCCTTGTTACAGTGTAATTGTACATTCATGTACTGAGTAATATTAATTATCATCATGTACTTACTATAGAGTAAGGATTAGGGTTTTCCTTAGGGTTAGTTGCATGTAATTATGCATAATTTACCTTTTTAGACCTAACTAAATAAGGTAAATTTATGTCATGTTATATAGGCCTACATTATTCACCGATGGGTTGGAGTGAATCACTTATGTCTCCGAAAACAGAGACAAAATCTTAAAGAAAAGGAAAAAAAAAAACATGTATCAATCTACCTCAAGCTCTCGGAGTTCTTCTTCCTCCTAGAGGGGAGAACAGACTGAATCAGATGAGAGGAACGAGCTAAAGCTGAATAGAGCAACATGAGAGGCACATGCAACTGGACAAAAAGATGGAGAGAGAAGAACGAGACTGGCAGGAGGCAGCTAGAGGAGAGAAGTCAAACAGGAGGTGAAAAGGAAGAATGAAGGCAGAAAATCAGTGGCCAAATGAGGGGGGGGGAATGCAAATCAGAAGCACAAAAATGAGACAGAGAGACACTTCTCATCAAACCCAAGTTACCTCAGACACCAACTCATCTTCTGCCTAGAACAAACAGGTGGGCAGAGAGAAGAAGGGATAGAAAGAAGCTTTTAACTAAAGCTGAATTTGGACAAAAGAAATAGAACTGATAAACTGAATTCAGTACTTTCCAGTTTAGTGTTCAAAACACACCAGACTGTCATTGAACAGCAGGTGTGCTATCTGATTTCATTCAATACCTATATTGATAATATACTGTATATATATATATATATATATATATATAAAGAAGTTCAGTTGAAAAGCGTATGCTTTAATTATATCGCCCAGCTATATATTAAAAGTTGAATATAGAATACATCCGGCTGTATGTTCTATATGTATTTTAGGTAACACTTTATTTTGATAGTCCACTTTAGACATTTTACTAACAGTAAGTAACTTTGCAACTACATGTCAACTAGCAGTCATTAGAATAGTAGTAGACTGTCTGCTTAATATCTTCTAACACTTTATTTTGATGAACTGCAACATACTGACTATAAGAAACTGTGCAAGTATATGTCAACTTATTCTACTAACCCTAACCCTAACCTTACAGTCTACTCTGGCAGTTAGTAGACATGTAGCTGCAAATTAATGAGAATTAGTTGGCATGTAATTGCAAAGTTACTTATAGTTAGTAGAATGTCTAAAGTGGACTATCAAAATAAAGTGTAACCGTATTTTATGCTTATTAAAGCTGGATATTCAATAAAAATAACAATATAGTGCAGGATTTTTGTCTATGTTTGGATTTTGACAGGTGGGCATTAAATATCAGAATGAAGTCTGATATTTCATATCAAGGTAAAGCTAAAAGAATGCCAATAAGGTGTAGTAAATTGAATCAGTATTTCACACTGACATGATGATTAGAGTGACCACTTGCTTATTGCTCTGTTGCAGGACAGCATATGTGATTTTGCAGGGATAATGCTATTTAAATATTGATGATGATTGCATGATAAAATTATTTAAATTGCTAATATAATTTTTATTAATGGTGACCGGCTCTGTGACTGGCATGCAATTTGCCTAGGTTTGAGTGATACAGTGTAATTTACTCCACGGGACCTTTTCAGTCTGCTAAATATAATGAACTGAATAACAGGTTATTAGGTAAAATCATATTTTATATTAAAATAAATGTCCGTAACTAGTGAACTAATGATGATTCATGCATGTTGTTACAGTACCTTGAAGTTGTTAAAAAAAATTTTTTTGGGAGGTGGGGTGCTGTGATGGAAAAAGGGCTGGGCGATAAATCGATAACGATAATTATCACAATATACTTTTCCTCGATAAAACGATATGAAGAGTTCGATAAATGCTCGATATAATGTTCATGAGCCAAAAGCGGAACGAAAGAGCATGACTCATTTGAATCGCGCCACTCGGAGTGTTTATCCGCTCGCAGCAGATGCGTTTACTCGCTGACGAGTCTCGGTCACGCGAGCACTAAACAGCGCTTTGAGATCCAGTGTGAAGCGCTTGAGTTTAGCAAACAACACAAATGACTCGCTGATTTAAACTAGTTTAAAGGCTGATGAAACAGTGCTGACAAACAGGAGGAACACTGTGTGCAACGATACAGTCAAAAGGCTTTTCCATCTATAAATTGCCATCATTTACCATACATTGTCTGTAGGGCTGGGCGATAAATCGATAACGATAATTATCGCGATATACTTTTCCTCGATAAAACGATATGAAGAGTTCGATAAATGCTCGATATAATGTTCATGAGCCAAAAGCGGAATGAAAGAGCATGACTCATTTGAATCGCGCCACTCGGAACGTTTATCCGCTCGCAGCAGATGCGTTTACTCGGCTGACGAGTCTCGGTCACACGAGCACTAAACAGCGCTTTGAGATCCAGTGTGAAGCGCTTGAGTTTAGCAAACAACACAAATGGCTCGCTGATTTAAACTAGTTTAAAGGCTGATGAAACAGCGCTGACAAACAGGAGAAACACTGTGTGCAACGATACAGTCAAAAGGCTTTTCAATCTATAAATTGCCATCATTTACCATGCATTGTCTGGCATACAGTAACCATACAGTAACACTAACTGCACTATGTGTATTGTGTCAGAAATGTGGGTACTTGTATCGAATTTTATTATATTATTAATGTAGACCCGTAATAAATGTATTAAAGGAGTAATGGAATATAATTGCAGTATTTTTGTGATTAAGCTATAGCATATGTGCATTTAGCCTGATACAAACAATTTTTAGACTACTGTTTTTCATACAAATACCTAAAAATCATATAGTTATATTTTTACTATGGTATTGAGATGTGCTATATGGGTTTTTAACTGTGTTTATCATGATCTAAATGTATGCTTCTATAGAAGACCAATGATTAATAATTAAAAAAAATCCTCAGAATAATTAAATTTCGCCATATAAAAATGAGGTTGCTACAATTTTTTTACAGATATTACTGATTTTGATAATGAACAAAAATTTACATCTGCATCCTAACTCAAGCTACTACTACTATCAAATGTGCAATTCTAAGAAACAAAAAAACAAATATTATTATTATCAGGTAACACAAACCTGTGTCTTGATTTGAAACAATATCACTTTTAGAACATGCAGAAACTAAGAAATTAATTTTTCTACTAAGATATTTATTTTGTTAAGGAAAATTAATGGTCTGGTTTCTACAACTTTCACTTTGGAGCAAAAATCTGGCTTAAACTTTAAAAAAATTAAGATTTGACATTTATTGTGATAATTATCGATATCGACTGATTTGAAAAAAATTATCGTGATATTTGTTTTGGCCATATCCCCCAGCCCTAGATGGAAAACATTTCAAGTAAAAGACTTTTAAAAACAGAAAATGCATCCATGACACCTGTAAAGCAAAGGCAGACGGAAAATGAAACACAGGCAAAACCCAAAGCAAATGTGTCGCCTTCCAAGTGAAAATGCTTTCTGAGTTAATGACTGACTAAAAGAAGCAGATGGTACACATAAAAAAAAAAAAAAACACATGGATGCAAAATAAATAATAATAATAATAGAAATGTTGTCAGCAAGATGAGAAAGAATGGATGGGAGAGAACAGTAGAGTTACAAACACACTCCAGATCTACAATCTGTTCATTCTAGAATAAGAATCCTCTGAGACCAGATGGTTGTCCTCAACCTGAAACAATGAGTAGCGAACATTAGCTTTTTCTTTAATAATCTTTCTGACTGAAGGGTTTCATTGTATTTTTTAACTGTGAATACAAAATAAAGAGGGATTAATCAGCCTGTCAGTTTTTGATGAGAAATAATTTAAAATAAAAATACATAAAAAAATTAATTATAAAAAATGTAATAAATTAAAAACACACTTTCCCATGGTATTTTAAATGTTTTCATGATTCATGATTAATAAGTACACAAATGTCTTCAATAAGACAGACTGGAAACCATAATTGTTTTCTGATATTTCCAGGATATCCTTTTTTTTTTTTTTTGGATGACTGACTTCCATTGTTTGGCAGAGAAAAGACAGTATACTCTAAAAACAACTGTCCCTCCACCTTGTGATACACACATTCATTTCTATTTCCCCTCTTTGGCCAACAGGAACATTTTCATTTTGATTGCCAAAGGAAACATACTGCAGTCCAATAAACCAGAAGCAGAGATGTCACAGACTAACATGAATCTTCTTGAAGTGCAAACACTAGGAACATTATTGTTAGAATTGCTTCTTAAGAGAGAGAAAAAATAGATTTCAGTCTTACCCTGTCCTCTTCTCCTTCCTCCTGTGAGTCATAGAAGAAAAGAAATAGTTCAGTTAGAATAGTAATGTACATAATTATAAAAGAATTAGGTTTAAACATTACTTTCAAACACATAGTAATAGTTTCATTACTATTACAATTACTTTTAATAGTACTGTAATAGTGTTGTAAGGTAACAAGTGAACACAATAAAATCATACTGGAAAACATTTATATAATTATATAAATAAGGAATGGGTCCTTTGAATGTTATAAATGTATTAATTACAATATTCATTATCCAAAACAGACCTATCTATCTATCTATCTTGGTTAAGTTGTTATATGTGACCCTGGAGCACAAAAGCAGTCTTAAGTCGCTGGGGTATATTTGTAGCAATAGCCAAAAATTCATAGTATGGGTCAAAATTATTGATTTTTCACTGGTTTTGTGGTCCAGGGTCACATATAAGTAATCATGAATAATTGAATAATTAAGCACTTTTGTCTTACCTGCTCTTCCTCCTCAGCTGGTTTTCTCTAACAAAAAGAAAGTTAAAATTAAAATGAGAAAATTACATTAGGCAGAAAAAAAATATTTACTGAATAAACACCATATAATTTAAAGTCACACTGTCAACAGGAAACACTAGCAGGAATCAAACTACAAGAGAGGAGATGGTAAAGCAGGGCATTAGATGTTAATTTCAGTTGCATAGGTGACATTACAGGTAAACCTTCAAAAAAAATAACCTGGAAGTTAATAGATGAAGCAAAGGATGAGATTATATGGAAGAAGAATGAGCTGCTATAGGAAAACAGATGATGTTTGAGGAGGATTGAGGGTTAAGTAGGAGTTTTGATGGTCAGTTACACTCTCTTCGTCCTCTTCTGCGATATCATCTCGAGCATCTGTCTCTGCCTTCTTGCCTGGATCATCTTCTTCCAGCTCTGCTATGTGTGCATCTCCATTCTGCTCAGTCTCTACGATTTCTTTTTTCTAGAAGAACAAACAGCGCATACCAGGAAAAGAGAAATTAAAAGCACAGCATCTGCTAAGGCACTGGCATAATGCACCACGGGTTCCTAGGAAGTTTTAAAACAGGTCCCTCAGGATGAAAACAGGCGCGAGTTAATGAACTGGAGGAACATTCACCAGTGGAATAGTACTAAGAAAGAAAAAGGGTTTGTTATATTAGACGATGGGAATGCTGACATGGAAAATGGACATTATCAATCAGTTTGCAATGTTGAAAAATCCACAAAAGCATATTTCGATATTTCAAGACAAAACATTGGAAGAAAAACGTTTCCCTCAAACAAGCATTAGGGTAGTAATAAGCAATACGGTTGTAATTACATAGCTGTAAATGCAAAGTGAAGTTGTAAGTACATGTAATTACAGAGTTGTAACTGCATAGTCATTTTTTCATATATATAACTTTGAAACTATTTCAAATATAAACATTAGTCAGGACAAAATGAACAATATTTCTACATTTTAAGTCATTCAAAATTGCAATCCTTTCAACTTAAGTATTTGTAAGAAAGCATAACACTACACAAATGCAGTCAATTAACAGGAACAGCATGCTCCACATGGAAAGGTTTATTTGTGGCTATGTTTGGAATGGAATATCAGCAATGTACATTGTACTGCCTGCTATTTTTAAGGTAACACTTTGCAATAAGGTCTTTTTTGTTAAACGGATTCACGCAAAATGAAAACCCTGTCATCATTTACTCACCCTCACATTGTTCCAAACCTGTATGAGTTTCTTTCTTCTGTTGACCACAAAAGAAGATATTCTGAAGAATGCTGGAAACCAAATTGTCGCTGGTAGTATGGAAGTCAATGGCTACCAGCAACTGTTCGGTTACCATCGTTCTTCAAAATATCTTCTTTTGTGGTTCTTTTGGGAACAACATGAGGGTAAATGATGACAACATTTTCATTTTTGGGTGAACTGTCACTTTAATATTAGTATGCACTAATGAACAACAATAATACAGCATTTATTAATCTTAGCTAATGTTAATTTCTACATTTACTAATACATTTTTTTAATCAAAATATCTGTTAACACTGGTTAATGCAATGTGAACTAATATGGACAAAAGATGAACAACTGTATTTTTATTAATTAACACTGACAAAGGCTAAATGTTGCGTATCCTAATTCAAACATAGCCTAAGTGTAAAGTAAGGTTGAACAAAAACCTAGCTGAATCAAAAAGCAGACAAGGGGCATACAGTAAAGTGCAGTACGGACGTGTCTGGAAATGCACTGAAAGTGAATGGCAAAAAAAGAGAGTAAAAAAAAAGTTCAATCAGATATTACTGTTGTGTCATCATCAAGATGTTCCTCTGTGCCAGATCCATTATGAAGCTTTTGTGCATTTTCAGCTTGTTGTGCCTCCTGCACCAAGAGAGATTTTTATTAATACAATATTCTACATTTCCTCTCACAAGGAAATGTCACTCTACTGATGTTTATCCATTCATTGCCAAATACTCTTCTGGTAATGTTTTGTTGATCTGGTTGATCTGGTCATCTGAATCTTGTTTTAGAGGATTTCAAAAAGCTTGGGAAGCTTTACTGGCTTTTGCATTTCAAGTAATTTAATATGATTTTTTTTATGAGAATTTATATTATTCTACATGTTAGGAGAAACATTAAGGTGGACAAAGAATGAAAAAATAAAATAAATAAATATATACATATATATCCTTTTACCCTACGTCTGTATTCTGCATTATGTCAACATTTGATAATGTCTTTCAAATATCTGACTTTAGCTGAGGCCTAAAGTGGTAACAAAGCTAAATTTTGGTGGATTATATATATCCTTTTACCCTAGTTGTGGAACGCCAGTAAGTAAGGCTGTCGAGGCTATTTTATTCACTTAAACATCGGATGAAGTGATTATTTTCTCTTTAATACATGATGCCAATGTATTTTTCGATGAGTCCGCTATGGCCTGCTTTCCTCTTTTACATCACCTACTACACACACATACAAGTCCGGTGAGAGAGAAGTCAATAGTTGTGGAATGCCAGTAAGTAAGGCTGTCGAGGCTATTTTATTCACTTAAACATCGGATGAAGTGATTATTTTCTCTTTAATACATGATGCCAATGTATTTTTCGATGAGTCGCTATGTTAGCAATAATAAGGTTACCTGCTTGACGGAAAGGGTCGCCAGGTTTTCACAACAAAACCCACCCAATTGCTACTCAAAACTAGCCCAAACTAACCAACCGTTTTGAGGGGGTCCCCCGGTAAAAACCGCGTTCCGGGGGCTAAAATACACGTTATTGTGGATGCTTCAACTCGCGGACATGAAAAACAACCCGCGGCAACAGTGATAAAGTAGCTCAATTCCACAGGAAAACCGCAGACTTGGCAACACTGTGATGGATAGTAATGTCTACAACGGACACGAGCGCTGTCACGGCGTGACCACAAAGGCTTTCCTCTGTGTATACATATCCTTACAAGTACAATTTTAGCTGGATTATTTGTGTCCCCTTCAAAAATTGCTCTTGAGAAATTTTATGTTTATTGTCCCCCCCAACTGTTAGATGAAATTTACGCCCCTGCTGGGAACAATTGAAAAAAACACACACCAGTGGCAGCATTTGACTCGGTTGTTATTTGGCCCGGATGTTATGACATTGGTATCACTTTAAGATACTGCAGTCTAAAATGTTGTCTAACTTTCATGTCAAACGAGAAAAGGAAACACACAAAAAGAAAAAGAAAAAATACAACCTTAGATCCTGGTGGAGGTGTCAGACCCAAAAATTCATAGACTGTGTTGTCCTCTTTGGCTTCAAAGAATGTTTCGTAGTCCTGCAATTTAGGATAGGAACCAATCATTAGGAAGCAATTAATATAGCAACACAACAACATAATTTCTGTGGAATTCAAAAGAAGCTATCAAATACAGTGTCCAGGCTGCTTTTTCTATAAAAGATCGATGTGGACTTATATGTACTATATTTAAAATCTTATGATGCCATACAATAACTTAGAGGGGAATGGGTCTAGATGTTTCGCCATTATTCACTAAATTGAATATTCTGTTGTTCTAGGTGTATTTCAAGCAAATAAGTTCCCTGTGTGTATCTTGAACACAAAGTTAAGGTTTCAGAAGACAGAAGCACACAACTTTTTTTAAACTTGATCCTTTTTACACATTTGTGGAAAAGAGTCTCTACATTCTGCCAATTTTTGTGTTCAACAGAAAGAAAGAAAAAAAAATTACAGGTTTTCAGCAAAATTAGGGGGGAAGGGGTGTAAATGATGACAGAAATTTTATTATAGAATTAATCCTCCCTTTTAGACCCAAATGATGCAGCTATACAAAATTTGAATAACTAAATTACAAACGTTTTAATACAGCTATTCAGTTACGACATAAATTTGTAGGCCAGCTTGGGAGAGTAGTGGTTTTTGGTTTGTAAATTAGGTAAACTAAATAGTAAATTAAGATCTTTGTACACATAAACTGCAATTACACATAAAAAAAAAAAAAACGAATCAACAAATACAACAGAATCAATTTGATAGTACAACAAAATATGTAAGTCTCTTCAAGTAATGTTAATTGCAGATGATATTTTAGTCATAAAACTAAAACCTCTATTTTAAAACCCCATAGGATTTCCCAAGGGAACCTGGTTTGAAAATGATAATTCTCTTCCCGGTTTTAGAAGCTCTTTTGAATATGTTTTCATGTTATATTACTGCTGACAGTCTTTTATGTATTTTACATCTCTTAACCTGGATAAACATCATATAAAAACCTTTACTCGTTCGGTCCTGACTCACATTATGATTTTTATTTAACGTTTAGATGGGAACCTCTGTTCTAGCAGGTTCTTACCCCACAATACATCGCCTCATTGAAAATCTGTGGAGGAAGAGGAATTCCATTGGTGGGCTTCTTTTCTCCAGGGACATTTTCCCTCATCCACCTCCGGTTGTCCTCATTTGAAGCAATGTCAAGCTGTGCGTAATCGATTTTAAGTGCCTCAAGAAACCCGACAACATCTTGCTGTTTCTTTTTGATCTGTGGTATTGGTAATAACAGATTACTGACATGAATCCTCAAAATGTCTCCACATTCAAAATTTCTCATTGCAGATTAGAAGTATATGTTAGCTGTAGTAGACATCTTAGAAATAATGTTCTCTTTCATAGGTTCACTCAACGCTGTGTCGCTATGATGCAATGGGAACGCCCTCTGGGTGTGCCGATTGTCTGAAGACCGTATAGAATCACACCAATTCATTGGCTGATGGCGTGGGCGCCGCCTCGAAGCTCTTACATCGCCATCCT